TTCGAAAGTTCATTGAGCACAAAATCGGCATCCATGTGCGACGCGAATAAGTCACTGGAAAATTCAATTGGAAAAATTCTAATCGAGCCAACACACATAGTGCACGGATACTGTGTGTTCTCAACAAAAACTTTCTTCAGTTGCACCATATCGCGCAATGAGATTGGACCCTCTTTTAGCGTAGAAAAATGACGGCAAATTAACTCGCTAGAAAATGCTAAATGATTAAATTGTTGCGAATGAAATGGCATAAATGAACGGAAACTTTTACACACGAATGATTTGCACATTTTAATGAAAATTTCCTGAAATTGAGAAGTTGAATATGCGGCCCAAAGTGGCAAAACGAAAATCGACGAACGAAATCGGAAAATTACGTTCAATTGTTTCCATTCATAGAGAATTGGCAGCTAGTTGTTCTTTCACCATTTCGGTTCATGATCCATATAGCATTCATATTGAAACGATTGGAGTAATTAGCAAAAATGTCACAGTCGGCATTGGGCACAATATATTATACACGACATCATTTTTCCAGCACTCTAAGGTGGTTGGTTTTTTTTTCATTCATGAAAATCTTATATTCAAGTAAAACTTTCCATATGCTCGGTGTGCCTTGGACACAACAACAACAACCAATCGCATATAAACGAATGTGGGGCTGAGGATGCGTTATTTAAAGGTCGGAAAAGCACATAAATCCGTTACGTATATTGATATTCCTTTGATAGAAAATGTTGGCAATTTAGTTTACTTTGGCCAAATAGAAAAATGCACCCGCTTGTCCAATTATCGTCATAAAATAGATTTTTCGTTTTAATACTCAAACGTTTTATCGCCTTGTTCGGTGGTGGTCACAGTGTACATTCACATTTTCGGTTTATATATTGGTTAAACAAGTAGACATCGGTTTTATTATATTTGGAATGTTTGGAATTCATGCCGAAATCATCGGCAACATCGAAGACATTGAAGCAAAGGCAATAAGTGACAGTGGCCAAATGTAGATGTATCTTTTTCACTAAGGATATTACTACTAAATGGACGAACACGTATTTTATGCCATTTAAGATGACCGCTAGAAATACTGTGCAAAAGTCGTAAGTATTGATTTGTCCTTGATGAAAATTACGTTGTGCCGTAACAATACACAAAACACATAAACATGCAATTATATTACGCTTGTGTAATCTCTGCGGTAGTATCCTTTATATTAGAAGACATAAAATAACAAGAATCAGTCAGTTGGCACTCACTCACTCAGTCACTGTGCTTGGTTTGCTATCTTCCCTTTTCCATTGCTTCGGCGTATGTGTGTATGTGTGTATGTGTGTTCGCATGGCAATAGCAAAACCGTTTAGCAATTGCAATTTTATTTGCACTCGTTTGACTACCATTGACTATGTTTGTGTGTGCGTGTGTATATTTTGTGCCAGTTTCTCGGCGAAGAAGAAAGAGAGAGTGTGTGTGCGAGTAAGAAAGCGGTTTTCCCGCACAAACATTATTATTGAACACAGTCCAGCTCATTTTGCCATCAAAATAAATGTGAATAACACACAACTTATGATTGGTACTGTCTGTTGATATTTTAGTTGATGATTTTGAGAGTTGTAGCGAAGCGAACGCATAATGGAATATACTCTGCAGAGACGATGTAATGCGTTTGCTACTGTTGATGTCTCGTCGACCGTTTGCTTTACGCATACAATAAAAACAAACCGTGCAAATGACTATATGGGGTATTCGCTATATGTGATGATAAGTTATGAGTTTTAATAACATTTATTGAGCGGCTGCTAAAAATAATCGGTATTTATTGGCAAAACTATTTCGCTCGCCTTCGTCGAAACAGTATTTATCGAAGATTATTCGCAATTTATGATTGGTAACTAATGTTTTTCGTTTCTGGTTCGTCTTAATACTATCGACATTCCCCACTCGCTCATTATATTCGTTGTTCTATCGCCGAAATGTGGTCCATTTTGGTCATAGGCGTGTATATGTGGCATCGCACATGTTCAACAACAAACATCGAACTTAATGAAAAATTAAAGCCACTAAATTCTCATTGAACAATAACAACCAAATTGCTTATGGATTTTGATCACAACCATTTTTATTGTGTGCTTTGAAGTCTGCTATCTTTTATCATTCGTTTGTTTCAGTTTTTTTTCTTCTGTAATGACGATTCTTCGATTTTTTGCTTTTGCGTCAATTTCCAATGTTTTTTTTTTTTTTTTTTTTCAAGCAAGCAAATAAATTCCAACAATTTTATGACAGACGTAATACGCAAGCTGACTTTTCCACATGACAACGAAATTTTGGAAATAAACTGAAGTTATGGTCTATTTTTGGTTGCAGTAACTTAAAGCACAGTGAAAACTTGTGAATATTATTTTCTTATCAATATAAATAATCTCACAAAGTTTAAAGAAAATTCAATAAAAAATATAAGTTCCTCCATACAACATTTTCGATTTTTGGCTCATAAACGAAAATGTTGTATGGGAGGTATCGCTAATTTGCATTAAAAAAACCACGCGCCCAAAAACAGAAAATTTACACTGTTACTTTTATACAACAACAATAACATTGTATACAATAGGCTATAGCTGTGAATATAGCACACGTACGTTTGACAGTGGATTTGAGCGCCTGGTTCTTTCTTCAAACTTTCAAAGTGTCATTTTTTGGTGGAAAAAACAACTTGTGCAAAGTTTCATGTCATTACGCTACCACAAGCCTTGTGGCACAAGGGCATGGCTACCATACAAAAATATATTTTTTTTGTGAATTTTTGTATGAAAAGTCTGTAAAAAATTGATTGCATCTTAAAACTAACACCAGATTCGGATTTCTCGTGCCAAAAAACCCCCCACTACACATTCTTTCAGAGTTCAAATTGAAAGAATATCAATTCAAGGCATTTTTCTCATAATTGCGTCTTCAGAGTCCAAGTTTTACACCGATCAACCAATGTTGCTGAAAATTTGACCAAGTCTATTCCTTGTAGACCCAAGTCAGATTTTGAATTTCATGTCTGAGCACAAAACCATCGCGTCACCAAAATGGTTAAAAAATGGTTCAAAAATGTATGGATGTGGGTACTCCATTCGGACCAAAAACTACACCGGTCATCGGATATTGCTCGTCTAATTTTTCTAGTGATTCGAAATTAAAGTCGACTGTAATATCGATACTTTACGAAAACGTGAAATATCGCATTTCATGTGACATTTGTATTGACGTCAAATTTAAAATATTTTCAAGTGTTATTATAGTCAGTTGAATGGAATAAAATAAAAATAATAATTTTAATATTATATTATAATATGTTTTGGTCAAAAGTACAAAAATTTATTCACACCAATCAACACCATCTCCAGATTTTATCCAACGAATATTATTTTCATGTGGATATAACACAATAAACAGTTTAAAAAATATTTCTTCACAAAGTCTATCAGAAATTGAAAACCATATTAATATTTTTGATCGCAATATTGATCAGAAGTTCGATTGTTGTTACAGTTAAAAATATAAATCAGAGAAAAATTTCAAACTTATACCCAAGTCTAAATAAACTTGGGTCATAAATCTCTAATTCTATCGAGTTCACAAACTCTGAGAATAAAACAAAACGATATGCACATTAATTATTCTACATTCATAGAGTATCTGCTCGAACATAGTGGATTCTCACCTATCATGAAAGAAATGATAAAAACAGCCATGTTACGAAGTTTTGTGTAAAAACCTTCCCTTGCCATCAATTTCTACTGTGTGTAAGTACAAATGTCCGGTCCGTACATGCAACCTGCTATGGCAGATGAATATTTTCAAAGTTCTCACATGTAGTCCGCTGTAGCGGTTTTTAAGCCGCTGTAACATGAAAAATCTGACGAAATATTATGTGAAATCCGCTATAGCAGACCTTGCATGGTTTGGTTGTATTCAATTCATTTTATATGATATTTCGACTTTTAAGTGCGATACATTTACGAACAAAAATCTCATGTGACCGAAGGAGATGTAAAGAAATGGCAAAGTTTCTTAAAAGTTGGCATTTTGGGAAATTCTAAATACGTTTAAGCTGTTTCCATATAGACTATAAAAAATAAATGAAATGCGTTTATTTTTTTAAAAATGATTTTTGGTTAAAAAGGATTGGATTAATTCAGTGATTAGTACAAACCAGATAAAAATAAAATCCGAGATAAAATTGTCGATTTAACTAAATAAATTTAATTTGTGTAAATGGTATTCGTTATTTCATAATTTCAAATTAAACATAGCGCTGAAATATTACTGTCATTCTAGCTGTCATTATTACTAGTATGATTCGTCACGTATAATACGTATAATATGATATAAGATATGGAAATAACAACAGTGATGGTAATGCAGAAAGATGCGTATTTGCTTCTAGTTACAGGCTAGTGATTTTTAGTATCGCTAGTTGCTTCTAGTTGCACTAGTTTTTCTAGTATGAATGTCCCCTTGGGTATACACTTTACACCAGTTAATCAATGTCGCTCAAAATTTGACTAGATGTTCTCCTCGCACTCCCCAATCATCCAGTAAAATCAGATTTTGAATATTTTTTATGTGTGCTGAACTATCATGTAAAATATAAAAATGTTGCTGACAGGACACAGGACACACCGCACAAAGCACATGCTACAGAGTAACATTAATATGCCAAAAAATCGCTTCTAATCGTGTTTTCTACGTGAAATATGCATAGAAAACATGTTTTGGGGTGACTTTAATTTTTTGGCCTAATACAATACCTTTCCTACACTAGGTGTGCGGAAAGGAATACTTTTCCTACACTAGGTGTGCGGAAAGGTAAAATAAACAAACATGTTTTGTTGAATGTTATAATTTTTACACGTTCATAGAAAATTGTCAGCCTTAAAATATTACCTTACAAATTTCACATGGAATATTTTTTCTAATTCGTTCAATTTTCAACGAAAAAATTAAAAGTTATAAGATATGATAATAAAAAAGTTAAACTTTTTATTGCATCTATAGAAGTACAATTTTTTATCATTTTTCATTTGAATATAGAATAGACTGAATTGGACTATTTATTTCATATAAACTTTTCACTGCTTATCAACGAAACTATGTGTTTTTAAATTGAACAATTTTCAATTTCATAATTGTTTCATTAAAATTTATGCAATTATTTCAATGTCGAAGCCCAATAATAATTTGGCCCAGTCCTTCCTGCGATTACAGAATTTCAACAAAACTTTATTTGCAGTTTCAAGATCTTTCAAAATTGCGGCTTGACCATTGTCCGACTCTATTACGGAACTTGAAACTCTTTTACTCAGCTGATCCATGGCAGTTTTAAATGTTTTATTATATATTGCATGAACTCTTTTTATTTGAGGAAAACGAAAAATAACACGCCCCTCTTCCGCAACAGTAAGATCGTGGTTTTCCCAATTGTTGTAAAGTTCTTGGATTTCATCTTCAACCGGTTGTAAATAAGTTGCATAGCTTTGAAGAGACGATCTTATAGAAGTACATAAATCATTCAGGTTGCTATTGTCCATGAGATTTTGAATGTTAGAGATCGAATTTAAAACATGAATATATTCAGAGGAAACATTCCATTCACAGAATGAGAACAACGGTTTGAAGTTTGTTTCAAATGAATGATCACTAGTTTTTTGTTGGTATTTCGAGAGAAGCTGTACGTAAGTTATTGTTTGTCCCATAGCCCCTTTGATGTAGATCTGCCATAAAGATAAAATAGCGAAATGTTACTTTGAAACCATTCAACTAATAATATTAATGGTTTTTTATTCGTTTTTTTTTAACTTATTCATAGTTTCAAATCAGTACTTACCCCATCAAACAGCAAAAACGAAAATAAGGTCAAAAATAAAAATTGCTTCATTTCCTTTAGTTGCAATTGCCTCGTTTTGAATATAAAATTCAACTGAAAATGAGAAGGTGCAGGATCGTTTATATACAAAAAATATAACGAAAAAAACATGTCTGTACTTACGCACAAAAAATTCCAAAAATATTTATATACACACGAATGGCTTGTTTCCAATGTTTCTAAGCTCGAAAAATTTCATAACAGACGTTATTCATAAATAAAATAAACATGTTTCGATGTGAGTGTGGACATATTGTTTTAACGTGAAGAGAAAATTGTTACTAAGCCTGATAAATTATTACACTCTACATTTTGTATATCTGTTCAATGAAGCTTAATATTTGTTGAATAAGTTCACCTATTTTTTTTTTTGCACCAATATCGAAAAAGAAATTTCAGTGATATGAGAATAACAAATTTCATTATTGCACATTATTTGAAATTTTTTATTTTCTTCAATAAAAAAAAAAAAAAAAACATTTATTGTGTATCGAATATCCCAGTAACTAAATATTCATTAATTTGTTCATTAAATTCATTTTGTCTCTTTGAAATTTCAAAATATATATACGCATTGGTAGTGGATTGCGCCACATAGTATTATGAATATTGTTACACATTTGAATGACCAACTTCAAATCGTAAAATTATGCTTATCTATGTTTTTATCTAATCATTTGTGCAGTATCACTAGATGGATATCACTTGGTCAATTGATGGTTGAATATTGCGATATGTGATGATAATTTTTTAAACTCTTTATTGGATCTATAAAAATACAATTTTTTATCAGAAATACTATCATTACAAGAATATAGAAACAGCTTATCATTTGAAAATATGGTATATATGAAATCTATTTATTTCGGTAGCTTACAATGTGAACTTTTCATTGCTGAAAAGTAAAACAGTCTTTTTAATTGAACAATTTTCCATTTCAAATCATATTCGTTAAAAAACTATTTAAATTTTGTAGCCCATTAATAATTTTGCCCAGTCCATTCGGCGATTACAAAATTTCGACATAGTTTCATTCGCAGTTTCGAGATCTTTCAAAATTGCGGCTTGAGTTTCGACGTAACTTTTTGCTAGACCATCAAA